TCCCCGCAAACATATTCTGAGCGTTCAGAATATATGAGTCCGAAAGGAGTCCTAGGTGGGTAAGAAATATGAGTTTCAAAAACAAAAAATTGTTTACTCTTATATGAATCTTTTAGGATTCATATATGATCCAAGTTATGAGCCAGCACCTTGTGCGAATATAAAAACAATAAAGATTTGAAATTTATATCTAAACTTGTTCACACAGAAATTGAAAATAATTAGAAAACAAAAAATGAACAAAATTTAGCTGCAGCTGCTGCTATTGAATGCATGTTGGAATGTGTATATGCACGTAAGTATGTATGTATGTTATTTGAAAGGAATTTTTGATGAATGCCTTTGCAAATATAGTGAGTTCCATAAGACTCAAAGAATAACGTAAAATAAGAGTCCGATTGTAGTAATTTATGAGGCCGGTAAGTCTTAAAAAGAGTCTGTAATGGCTCCGAAATAGGACTCCTTAAAGACTCATTTGTGACTCCAAATGTTTGCTGGGAATATATGAACATATGTATATATGTATGCGCAGAGATTTGTATATAAATATCCAACAGTATTTGAAATGAATTCCTTGCTAACATGGCTCTAAAGTAAGTTCATTAAGAGAGTTGAAGAATAAAGCCAATAGGAGTCACAGAACAGCATACAAGGAGCTCCGAAAGTAGGCATTTATGAGGCCAATAAGAGTCATTTAAGAGCTTCAAAAAGAGTCCAAAAGAGTCAAAAAGAGTGGCCGTATATGAGGCCAATAAGAGTCCAATATGGCTCATATTGAGGCTCATTTGATGTATGAATTTAAGCTCATATAGGTCGACCTTCGCAGGAAGGGAAACACACTCATTTCGGACTCTTAAATGAGCTCATAATGAGCACAAAGGCTCCGAAATGGGACTCCTTAAAGACTCATTTATGACTCCAAATGTTTGCTGGGTAGGTGTGTATTTGGTTAGTGTATTGGTGTTTTTAGTTCAGTGTGTTAGTGTATTTTGAATAAATTGTAATAGAAATAAAAGAAATTGTAATAAAAATGAAAGAAATTGTAAAAGATAAGATCACATGCCAAAAAACAGGTGATCTCAGCTGTAGGCAATTTCTGGCAATCAGCTGATAGTGTTTCTACTTATGAAACTGTACGATGCATTATAATAACTATAGTTGGGTTTAATGAGCTGCTCTAGCCCTGCAGCAATAAGGCGGTCAATTTTCCGTTAAGGACTAGTACTTAACTGAATAAAGTTAGACTGGACAGCAGTGGACATTTACTTGCATCGAAAATGTCAGCCCTCGACCAGTCCTCAACGATCCGGCCTAGAGATAGACGAAAAATACAGTGTGGCAGTGACAGGGTGGTGTTGTCTTGCAATTGAATAAAAAAAAAAATTAAAGAACATCACCCTGTAAATGTCCCAATCGCTTGGTCTGGCCTTGATGCAAAGTGAACATTAAAACACACATTTACATGCGTGGCTTTAGGTCAGTGCGCAGAGATGCTTGCAACTATTTGTTAGCTTTCAGGAGGGTCCGGGTTCAAATGCCGTCAGAAGCAACATGGTTATAAAATGATAAAATTGATTTTTTTTTGTGTTTCCGAATTATGAAAAAGCATCTGCGAAGTGCAGAACGCAATCTTACGCCATCGAAAAAATCTCCAAAATTGGACTAGTTCAGGACTATCTTACGGTCAATGTTGATTGGACCGGTCCTTTTCCAATGACACGCCAATGCTAAAAATGGCAGTTGAAACCATTGGCAGGGGAATTATGAGGGACTAGTGCTGGTAACAATAGGGACTATCTGAAGGCTAACCTAGGGTGAGTCTGAATTGCTGCAGGGAGGTTACGCCAGGTTAAGATATCTCACAAAATTATTTTTCATGAGCATTTTTCTTGCTCTTACTTACTGGCCGTCTCCACAGGATAAAATTTATTGCTGCCCAGCTGTCATTTTAGTCGCTAGATATAATTTATATCAGTGGCAATATTTGTGTGGGCTTTTTATATCTTGATATAAGCATTTGTAAGATAGCTTCGAAAACGTATTTTTGCCGGATTTAATCGCTTAGAACTAAGAAAATAGGCTATTTTACATCCAAATACATAATTACAAATATTTTAACAGGAAACAGCTCAATTCTTGCTTTTATATT